CAAGCTAAATCGATGGCAATCCAATCATCTTCTGTGAAATCACCAAACTATATTCAACCAAAAGTCAGTATAAGTATGACTAATTTTGCGTGATATACTAAACTCAAAATGAATTACTAGATACTTACCAAAAGGTCGGCTTTGTCATTAGATGGTTCAAAGAAAAATTCCGCCATGACTTTCCAAAATGTTGTTTAAACACAAATCGATGTTGACTGTATGAAAGCTATTCGAAAATGGTGAGGCAAGCGCTTTCACACTCAAGAAACCACAAGACTTTGAATAACTTATCTTTTGTTTCATTCAGGCACGTCCAGGCAGCTCTTTGTTCAGGAACAATAGTAATTTCATGGTGTATGAATTCCCACAATTTATGATAATTACCCTCCTCGATTTACCAACGCAGCATAATTGTGTTTACCAACACAAAAGTTGCCCACAATTTTGTGATAATCATCCTCCTCGATTTACCAACACAGAAGATGCACACAATTTACCAACACAAAAGTCGCCCACAATTTTATGATAATCATCCTCCTCGATTTACCAACACAGAAGATGCACACAATTTACCAACACAAAAGTCGCTCACAATTTTATGATAATGAATTAACTCCTACTCGTTTTGACCACCCCTCCCCTATCACTTTTGACTTCATTAGCATACCCACCTACTAAAATAATTTATACCACCTACTCGTTTTGACCACCCCTCCCCTATCACTTTTGACTTCATTAGCATACCCACCTACCTATCACTTTTGACTTCATTAGCATACCCACCTACCACCTACCACCTACTTTCGGGGCTCGAGCGGTCCTTTGCCTACTACTAATATATCAGTCATGATATCCCATAATATTAAAGGTCAGTTTGATATATATGAAATATGGCAGAGGGGGTGAGAATTATTGCAAACAGCTGTATATTTAGTATATATATATATATAATCGTATGAGGAAGTAGCTGATCCCATTAAAGAGTGCTCAATACACAAAAAGTGTAGAGCTACAATCCCGGCCAAAACTTGTTGAGACATTCCATTTTTTGACTCTAAAATTAATGAAATTTGGGGGGGTTGCTTTTAAATGTCTGCAATTCCGTACTCCCCGCTCCCCTCATTACAAAGTTGAATGAATGTAGTTTATGAAAGACCACAAATGATAACTCACGACTCACAACATTGATTTAGGGGGGAAGGGGGATTTAAATGAGGTTTTTTTCAGTAGTAAACATATAAAAACACTATTTTCATCAMTTTGTCTCAACCCTTTTGACCGGGATTGTAGTTATA